GACCCGCTCAGTGCCTACCGCGTCGACGAGATCCTTGCCGCGTCCGACGACGTCTCGGGCAAATTTACACCGTACTATCAGGAACCGGACGCTGAGAAGAAGATTGCCATTGTAAAGGAACTCGCGGCGGGCGTGCTCCCGACCTTGTTTGCCGGTATCGAGGCGCGGCTCGTTGCAGCTGCTGCCAAGGGCCCGTATCTCTTGGGCGAGACGCTCTCGCTCGCCGACTTGGAGCTGTTTGTCGTACGCATGACCGTGCAGTCGGGCGAGTGGATCGGTGCTCCCACGACGCTCTGCGGCGCATACCCGCGCTGGAATGAGATCGCAGACGCCGTCGCCGCCCTCCCCAAGATCCAAGCCTGGTACAAAAACCATCCGTAACGGCTGACACGCGAGTTCGTGCGACGCCACGTAATACACTCGAATTTTGTATCGAGTCCACACGACGGGTGATTACTGATTGGCAACACTCTAAGGTCCTTTCACACCGTAGCTACAGTGTTTCTACTACCATTGTACTAGTCTTTAGAGATAGCGAGTGTGCGTATAGGGTCCGCGTTTGAACGCGTCCCATTCACCCGGCGTGGTCCGCCATGTACGCTGACGAGCCAGCCGTGTACATTTCGATCTTGGTAGATGCTAGTCACAGCTTCGAACCCATGCAAGCGCATACTATTTTCGCCCGTTGTGTGTTATTTGCCAGAGCGACCGCAAGAAGTGTACTCGGTAGGAGTGCCAGCGGGTCCATGCATCCGTTCTCAAGTCATTAGCCTTCACGGCGAGTGTATGTGATCTGTACATTCGTAGTGACGCGCCAACTACAGGACGATCATCACATTCGAGGCATCGTCAACCTGCCTGTCTCTTGTACGATGTGCATTTCGCAGCCTTGCGCCAACTTGGCGCCATTTTTAAGCCGAGTCATCCATCGAGTCGATTCGTTGAAAAGCGTATTGGTCAACTACTCTTACTACACACTACACTACCTAGCCCACTTTTTCGCCGTTGAGCGAGAGGTACCCGCCAAGACGGCCGTTGGCGTAGCCGCCGGCACGGTTCTGCGCGTGGCCGAGGATACCGTCCGTGTCATCCGATGCCTTCTCGAGCTGGTTGAGCACATGCTCTTCTTCGCGCAGCCACATCTCGGCCGTGTGGTAGATCGAGAGCGAGTTCCGGCCCATGAGCGGCATGGCGCTGAGCGGGCCAAAGAACGAGATCTGGCCCTGGCGCAGGTACATGAGGTGGCTGGCCCACTCCTCCATGCCGTCAAACACGTGCGACGCGAGGACAACCTACGCCGGTGCATGAGCTACCGCATGCTTCGAAATGGAGCGTACCGTGGCCTTGAGCGGGCCCTCGCTCTCTTGCTTGAGAAAGTTGAGAATGTTGACGCGCGACACAATGTCCAAGCACCCGAGAACTTCGTCAAGAATGATAATCTTGGACGGGCGGAGGAGCGCGAGGAGGAGCTGGACACGGCACCGCTGGCCCATCGAGAGCTATCCACACCGCGTCAAAAGTGCAATCTCAAAGTGCAAACTCGTACCTTGTGCATGCGCCACGTTGGGTCGATGCGCAGCGTGTGCATGAGGATTGCACGACGTTCGGGATACGCTTCTTGGAGCTTGACCATCATGTCTTCCACAGCAATGTCGGTGCAGTACGTCGACGAGGCGGCGAACGCGACCGAGCGGTTGCCCCACTCGGTCGTCACCATCGTGCGCTCCAAGTTGAGCTTCGTGTCGCGAAAGCTGTCGCGCCGGCCCATCTGGTAGCACATGCCTACGAGCACCAGAACGTCCATGAGCCTCTCATCCATGACATTGGTCATGCGCGTACCGCTGGTCGGAAGGTGCTTGCCGCCAAACATCTTGAGCAACGTACTCTTGCCGGCGCCGTTGCCACCGATGAGCAGCACGCGCTGGCCGAGCTCGAGCTCGCAGTTGATGCCCTTGAGCACCGGGCCACCCGAGATGTCCATGCCAGCAAACTCCTCGACGTACTTGAAGACGAGGTCAACGCACTAGATGACCATGAGCATGCGCATGCCAGGCCTAAGCACGTCTACCTCGCACGAGACGTTGGGCGGCAGCGGGGCGGGCGTCGTCGTCATGATGATGGGCGGTCGGGCTTGCAGGTCGAATCGCAAAATGGCACCTCAATCGCCGTGCTGCAAGCGGATTGGATATATCTCTGCACGAGGTCGTTTTATTAATATGGCTCTCCAATATAAAACCCAAGCTTCAATTGAATATGTGTTTTAAAAGATATCCCACTGGAATTCGCTGCACGCCATCCTAGGGAAATCTCCGCCGATTAGTTAAGGATTTGAAGCGAGCGTCTTATTTAACACCGAGGCGGCGGCGTGCACTGAAGTCCACGCGTCCCATGGCGCCAGTCGTACACGCCGATTTCAGAGCCCTTCGCGTGCGTTCGACTCGGTTGGATGCCACAGCGCATGTAACCTGTACTTATTTGTATACGAAGCGTTCTATCGACCCTTGGGGGACATCGCTACGTAAGCTCAGCACCAAATGACACAAGAGGGCATTTCTAGTGCGTTACCCAGGTTGGTACGCATACAGTCTTGCCGTTATTTGGTCGTGGACTAACCCATGGTGCTTACCTGTGCTTGGCTCACATGCATCTGGAGGCCATGAAGTGGCTCAAATCATTGGCACCCTTTTTTGACACGGACTGAATTTCGTCGTCAATGACGTGGCAGCGTCTTGTGCATGTACCGTCCACAAGTTTGGAATAAGATCCAGCCCTGGTTGGGTGTTTGATGAGGTAAAACTCAGTGGTGTGCGTTTGGTAAATTAAACGCTCGTCTCCATAACGCCCATTACTTGATCTTGTGTCAACCAAAGCGAGATGGTGCTTCCAGCTTCCGCTCGCCGTTCTTGAGCGCGATCGCCCAGCTCAGCGACGGCACGATCGACGCCTTGTTGTCACCAATGCTGTAGGCCATGTGCCCCGCAAACATGAGCGCCTTGTACTCGGTCCCGTTGTCGTCGATCGTCACGTCGACCGTAAGGTACCCCGGCGGAATGTCTTCCATGTCGACGAGCGGGTAGTCGTACGTAACTTCCGTCTCAACAACATCAAACCAATCATCCGGATTGGCCTCGGGCCTTCGCAGCAGCACCGTGTCGGTCATCTTGTCGCCTTGCCACTCGCCTTTGTCGTTGAAGACGCAAAAGACGCTGATCCAGCCGTTGAGGTAGCTTGGACCCGAGCCGCCGCCTTCGTGGCTGCAGATGCGGTCCCAGAACGCTACGTCCGCCTGGCCTTGTGCCGCCGCCACAAACTGATCGAGGATCGGCGCCAGCATCGTCGTCCACTGCTGCATGCGCTTGCCATAAGCTGAGAGCTTGTCGAGGCGACGACGAATGTCTTGCCAATCGTCGACGGTGCCGAGGAGCGTCACGTGCGGAATGCCGCAGCAGAGGCAAAACTTGTACGAAAAGTACTTCTTCATCGTGGCCATGAGCACGACGCTGGCGACAATGACGTCGTGGTCGGTCGTTGTCGAGAAGGACGGAAGGACCCAGTGCTTGAGGCTCGGGTCCACGAGGTGCTCGTCCATCTTGTCGACCATTTGCTTGGAGAGCGCGCCAAAGTCGGCCGTGTACAGCGTTCCAACGTCATAAACAACGAGCTCCTTCTGGCCGTCGTGTTTGACGAGCGACGACCGAAGCTCTTCGGCGTTGCCATCGACGTACAGACCAAACTGAATCAAAATCGCGAGCCAAATATCGTCCGGCCGGAGCTCGATGTCGTGGTGGTTGTTGTAGGCTTCAATGACACCGCGCACAAAGCCACTTTCAGAAGCGACAACAGAACCAAGGTTGGTGGCTTGGACAATGTCCTTGCAGCCTTCTTTGGCAAACTCCTTGAGCGTCGTGATGGGATGATCTTTCTTTCGGATCGTCCTGCAGAAGTTGCGCCTCACGGACGAGACGGCGAACGTGACCATGACAAGGGCGATTGAAAAATGGGAAAAGGAGTTGGTGGTGTAAGGTCTATGTGCAAAGACATGTTGAAGTTTAAACTGTGTTTGCACGTATTCCTGGCCATGCCGTTCGGTTGTGGAGCGGCACGGCCCGACTGCATGCGTTAGTTTCTTTTTATCCGTAAGAAAGCGTTTTCCTAGTGCAACGCGGTTTATTTGTCTAATTGCACGCGTTTGTCTAATTGCACGCGTGTCAGTCTCGTAACCGGAAAGATACGCAGTGACACGATTTACTAGAATGCGACACGAAGCGATGCATGGCTCCTGCGCCTTCGTACGCACCGGAACAGTCTCTGATGTCATCGCCCAGACCCGTAACAGTACGAAATTGCTAGTCTAGCTTTCGTGTCTTCCAAATCGTTCTCTGCAATACAACGAGAAACGAGTAGGTATGGGGTACGAAGTGTCCTATTAAGCTAATGTTATCGCACATCGACGACGACGGCGGTGATATTGTCTGTGCTACCCAACTCGATCGCCATGTTGGCGAGCTTGAGTGCGAGGTTGTCGAGTGGCATGTCCATGTACGTACTACGCGCCACGTCATTTGTCGATCGCGTTCGATCTCCAGTGCCTACCGGATAAAGGACGCGACCGCTTCGTTGCTAAAGACGTCCCAGAGACCGTCGGTAGCGAGCACGATGAACGCGTCATGCTCCTGCAGCTGGTGCACCGTCACTTCTGGCTCGGCCACGATGTACCTGTACATTGTGACGCTATAAACTATATCCCAAGACGGCAGTTTGTCGTACCGCTTGAGAGCAATGTCGCCAAACGCGCGGGCAACAGCGAGAAGGCCGTTCACACGGTTGATGCCTCGGATATTGAGCACAATCCCACCTAGTCAATAGCCGCCCTCGTGTCGTACTTTCTTCAACACAAACCGTCGTACCTGCTTCTTCGATACGCGCCTTCTCGGCGGGCGAGTGCGGTTTTTGGTCGACCGACAAGGGCTTGACTTTGGGTACGTTTGAAGCAGGGTCCAACGAGATGAGGATCGCCCGGCAGTCGCCAATGTTGGCGACGTACACTTCGTCGTTGCGGATGAGGACCGTGATCGCGGTGGACCCGTCCTTGTAGCCGCGCGTTGCGGCCAAGTCGAGAAAGGACTTGTCCAAAGCGAGACAACTTGTCTTTAAACACTCTGACAGATTGGTGTGAAACGTCTCCGCGGCAGCCAAAAGGTACAGCGGGAGTGCGCGGGCGACCGTGGCCGAGCACCGGCGGCCGGCGTGGCCGTCGTAGACGCCGTAGAGCTGCGTCCACGTCGAGGGTTCTTGGGGAATTTCTGCCGGTAAGAACCACGTGGCTTCCTTGAGTCGCAGCGACTCTTCCGAGTCAAAGACACTCGACTGCATGTGCTTGTCCAGGACGCTCGCCGGTGTCGCGTCGGCCTGCGTCACGAGAAGACTCGACACGTACTTTTCGAGGTTGGTGATGACGCGGTACGTGTCTTCGTTCGCGTTGCGGATGCCGCGGATCGACGCGACGCCGCAGAGGTTCGCTTCGCTCACGTCAAACGTGAGGACGGGGTCCGAGAACTTGGCGTTGGGCACGTGCGGGTGCAGCTGCAGTGGCGACAAGAACGACGACGGGAGGTTGGTTGGCGCGGCTTGGTGGTGCCGGACGCTACTCGACATCAGCTTCTTCCACTTGAGCCGCCACCGCCCAAGGAACGGAAACGACTCGAAGAGGAGCTCCAAGCTAGACGGCGGTGGCGCGTCTTCAAGGATGAGCGTCGAGTTGAAACGCCGCTTCCCAAAGCGCTTCATGCGCGTCGGCGCAACGTCGGCGGCCACGGGCATCATCGCTCTACTCGGATGGAGCCTACGAGTCGAATCGGCGCCAAACCGCTCCGGAAATAGACAGGCTGCAAAAAATTGAAGTAGTTTCGGCCACGTCGACAATGTTGTGGACAGGTATGTTCGGTCACCGTCGTACCGGTATGTACTCGATTACGAGCCGCACAGTGCGGTGCTGCTACGTACTGGTAGCCACGACGGCTGCCTTCCTTCGCGTCGTCGTGCTCTCGTCGTTGCGGGGCACCACCGAAAAAGTATCAATGTATCGAGTACGAACACGACTATCGCTGTTCGTATGCGCACCAGACGACAAGAGCTAGCGTGCAATGCCATGCGCCTGCAACGCGAAGACTACTTGCACTACCAAAGAAGTACGATGCTTTGTCGTGGTGATCGTAGCCAGCCCACGTCGGTCGTGTACACGCGGGGACGTCAGGTTGTACCGGGCTTGTTTGGCCACAGCCGCCTCTTTTCGTCGTGCTCACATGCTAGTAGGTTAGGGTGTCACACCTTGTCAGAGCGCTGATTTGAACTCGCGCCAATGGCAGATCGAGAGCCTGGGCGCTGCTCGCACCGATCGACGGTGCCCGATTCGCGACGTAGTCCTAGTCTACACGAGACCCAGAGATCGTTGCGTCCAAAATCTTCAAGTTAACGGTTCATCGTGTAGCCTCCTTGGGGCTTCGTGGCCGTCTGCGAAGCACCGCCAATGCCAAGAGCGCCACTATCATGAAGCAGAGGACGGCGATCGACTGAAAGTTGCCGTCGCGGTCCACTCTGCGGAGCTGAGCCACATCGTTGCGCAGATGCAGAAGTCCCTCTTCATGGCCCGCACGGTTCGCGTCCAGCTGCTGGGCTAGCGCCTGCAGCGATGTATTTTGCGCACCCCGATCGCCGTGGAGCTCGGCCGCGAGCTTCTGCAGCTCATTCAGCACCATCGGCTCGGAGATCTCCTTGCTGCCGTGGAGCGTCCAGCCCGGCAGCAGCGCCTCGACTTCGTCCGGCACCGAGTACGGCACCCATCGACGCTGCGCCGTCGGCCACTCGTCCAGCGACGCGTTCGTGTTGGAAATGCCCGAGAAATTGAGAAACTGCGCAATCGAGCGGACGCGGCCGGGCCCAAACCGGTGCAGCTCGCGCGTGTCGACCTCGCCTTGGAACGGCAGCGTCAGCATCGTACGAAGACGGTTGTACGCGATCGCTTCTTCGCGCGGCTTCTCGGCCACGGTGGTCACATTGTCCCAAAACCGCTTCTTCTGCGGGTCGTTGGTCCAGTTGTGAAACACGATGTGGCCGTGGCGCGACGGCGAGTAAATGTCGTAGCCGTGCGTCCAGAGCTGCATGGACCGGAGGTACTCTTCGCCCCAGAAGATCCACTTCATGTACTTGTCCATGGGCGCGCGTTTCTCGGCGTGGCACTTGCTGAACGAGAGGCAGCCGCCCCAGAGCGCCGACATCTGCGGCACCTCCGAGTCGTCAATGAGGAGGTAGCCGCCAATGACCGGAATGTCATACTCGTGGCTGCGCTCGAGGTACGACGCCAAGTGCGAGCTGTAGTGCGTCGCGATCTTGTCGCCTGGTCCAATGTAGTTGTAGGCCATCGGATACGTCGAGAAGACGGCCATCTCGTTCTCTGTCCGCAGCCAGTCCTTGACGATCTCGACGTCCCAATCGGCCAGAAACTTCGAGTGCGCGTCGAGCTCCATGCAGAAATCTTGGTCTCCGATGAGCTGTTGTTGCTGCCAGCGCGCAATCACGGGCCCTTTGGACAAGCGCGCATCGCGCGCGTCGATCTTGATGTTGGCTTTGTATCGGCAGTCGTGGTCGGGCCAGGTTTCTTTGGCGCGGCGACAGTACTCTTCGAGGCAGATGAGGTCGCCGGGTCCGGTCTGGTCAACGACGCCAAGGAAGACACGGTCGGGGTACCGCGCATTCGTAAAGGCGGTCCAGAGCGTGTAGCCGCACTTGAAGCCGTCGCGGTAGGACGCAATGCCGATGAAATGTGTGGGGTCGGTGGGCAGGCGTGGCGGTGGCGGGCGCAGGTGGGCCGCAGCCGGTGACGCCGGAATATTCTGGATCGACGGCTCCAAGTACGCGCGGTGCGGGACCTTCTTGCGTGTGTAGAAAAGCGACTGCTTGGGCTTTGTGGTCGGCGATGGCATGGATGCGTCCGTGGAAGTCACTTGCGATATGAGGTTGCGCGACTTGCCCGGCGGCCAGATGGCTCCAGCTACACCGTAAATCAAGCGTGCGACGCGCGAGATGCGCAGAGGCAGCTTGTGGCTGAACAAGCCGTCGTAATGGGTGTTAGCACCGAGCGCTGTCAGCTCCCGTGTCAGCTCCTCGTCCATCGTCACGGGTCACATGTCGTTGAAAGCCGCGTGGGCGCTTGGCGGTGCAGCAAGCTGTAAGTGCCACACACGGCGGTGGACACATCACTGGCGGCACGACTGCACTGTTCTGTGAAAACAGATGTGTGGTGTTGAAGCGGTAATTCCCGCCCACAAAAACTTCCGATTCTCCAGGACCCAGTGTCCAGGACCGGTACAATTGAGCTACCACTGCTGAGCGTGATGTGCTCACAAAGGACGATCTATTTGGTGAATGAAACGTATCGACCACTACTGAAAACAAGTTTCGTTGCTATTCTGTGCCATGATTGGTGGCCCATGGGAATCGGTCTCCGCTCCCTCTTTGCAGGGCACTGCTCGTGCTGACAACTGGCTGATGAGCGTGAGCTTTCGGTGTCGCGCGATTCTATGTCGAGAAGGTGCAACGTCGCCATCGCCGTCTTGGTGGTGGTGGGGGGCACCCACTACAGTCTGCCACTCGCAGGACCAAAGTGTGCAGTGCAACCTTGGCCAAGTGGTCGGCTGAGAACACATCGCCATTGGCCGTAGGGTCGCTTCCGTGCAGAAGCGACGTAACTTCTCACACAAGGCAATAATGGCAGTCGTTTACAATCACATGCAAAGGGCTTCCAATATATTTGTATATTTTGGTTGCGCGGCCTCGTTTATAGTAATATAAAAAAGACTATTTCGATTCGGGTCCCATTTGACAACAAGCATGACATCGCCGACCACAAAACCAAAGCAGTCGCTCTTCTACACACGCAAGAAGGTCCCGCACCGCGCGTACTTGGAGCCGTCGATCCAGAATATTCCGGCGTCACCGGCTGCGGCCCACCTGCGCCCGCCACCGCCACGCCTGCCCACCGACCCCACACATTTCATCGGCATTGCGTCCTACCGCGACGGCTTCAAGTGCGGCTACACGCTCTGGACCGCCTTTACGAATGCGCAGTACCCCGACCGTGTCTTCCTTGGCGTCGTTGACCAGACCGGACCCGGCGACCTCATCTGCCTCGAAGAGTACTGTCGCCGCGCCAAAGAGACCTGGCCCGACCACGACTGCCGATACAAAGCCAACATCAAGATCGACGCGCGCGATGCGCGCTTGTCCAAAGGGCCCGTGATTGCGCGCTGGCAGCAACAACAGCTCATCGGAGACCAAGATTTCTGCATGGAGCTCGACGCGCACTCGAAGTTTCTGGCCGATTGGGACGTCGAGATCGTCAAGGACTGGCTGCGGACAGAGAACGAGATGGCCGTCTTCTCCAACTACCCAATGGCCTACAGCTTTATCTCACCAGGCGACAAGATCTCAACGCACTACAGCTCGCACTTGGCGTCGTACCTCGAGCGCAGCCACGAGTATGACATTCCGGTCATTGGCGGCTACCTCCTCATTGACGACTCGGAGGTGCCGCAGATGTCGGCGCTCTGGGGCGGCTGCCTCTCGTTCAGCAAGTGCCACGCCGAGAAACGCGCGCCCATGGACAAGTACATGAAGTGGATCTTCTGGGGCGAAGAGTACCTCCGGTCCATGCAGCTCTGGACGCACGGCTACGACATTTACTCGCCGTCGCGCCACGGCCACATCGTGTTTCACAACTGGACCAACGACCCGCAGAAGAAGCGGTTTTGGGACAATGTGACCACCGTGGCCGAGAAGCCGCGCGAAGAAGCGATCGCGTACAACCGTCTTCGTACGATGCTGACGCTGCCGTTCCAAGGCGAGGTCGACACGCGCGAGCTGCACCGGTTTGGGCCCGGCCGCGTCCGCTCGATTGCGCAGTTTCTCAACTTCTCGGGCATTTCCAACACGAACGCGTCGCTGGACGAGTGGCCGACGGCGCAGCGTCGATGGGTGCCGTACTCCGTGCCGGACGAAGTCGAGGAGCTGCTACCGGGCTGGACGCTCCACGGCAGCAAGGAGATCTCCGAGCCAATGGTGCAGAATGAACTGCAGAAGCTCGCGGCCGAGCTCCACGGCGATCGGGGTGCGCAAAATACATCGCTGCAGGCGCAAGCCCAGCAGCTGGACGCGAACCGTGCGGGCCGCGAAGATGTGCTCCTCCAGAAACTGGCCACCAAGCTCGAAGAAGCCCGCGCTGCGAACGAGGCGACGCTGTTGCACATTCGACAAGAGATTGCAAAGCTCCACGCGGTGCCGTCAGCAGTGATCGCGTCACCGGCGCTCCTAACGAGTCTCGTACCCATGGGTGTCGTCGCGTGTGCCCTCTTGGTGCTCTACTTTGTGGCGGGGCTTCGGCGTGCACGGTCCGCCGGGACCAAGTAGTCTGCTCATTCCTTAGTTTTCGTTTGGAGTAGGCTAATGAATTTCACTGTACCAGTAATGGAACTGGAGCATGTAGCCAGCAAGATCTAGCTCGGCCTGTCATGAGGTGTGGACTTGTTGTCCACAGTCGCGGCGACAGCAGCTACAGTATTTACTCGCTGTCGATACAATGAGAATAGATAGATAGATAGATAGATAGATAGATAGATAGATAGATAGATAGATAGATAGATAGATAGATAGATAGATAGATAGATAGATAGATAGATATAGATATGACTCGTCTACTGCCGTATACCAGTAGATCTTAGTTGGGCCAATCTCATCAGTGTCAATCTCAATGATCTTAGGCCAGTAATCTACATCTGACCAAACAAGTCGTGTGCATATCACGACAACAATTCAAGTAGATACGGAAAAATGGTATTGCAACGTGTTTAAATGACGTACGCCTTGGCGCACGTGGCCGCGTACTTGGTCGACGGCGATGGCTTGAAGTTGTTGTGGGTGGCCTCTGTGTGGAAGCAGCGGCAGTGGCCCGTTGATTTGTCTCCGCTCAAGCCCCACGTGAACGCGTTGTACTCGCTCCCGTTGTCATAGCATTTGTAGCAGTCATCAAAGCTGCCGTCAAACCCGAGCACGGGCACGTTGGTCGTGTCGGCGGTAAGCTCGGCGTGGCCAAAGCAAAAGTTGTTCTTTCGGTAGTACAGCGTCGACTGCACGCCCGGCGCGGCCGCATAACTCGCTGCCGTGTGCTTGAGGTAGCACTGCCAGTGGTCGTTCTTGTTTTGGGATGTGCCATAACACGCAGAGTCCTTCTGACACGCCTCGACGCAGTCGAAGAGCGACGACTTGTTGCCGGCGTCCTTAAGGTCCTTGCCCGGGTTCAAGTCAATGTCTTTGAGCTCAAGGTACCCCGGGTACACGATGTTGACAAGGCCGACGACCTGCTTGCACACTTGGGACTCGAGGTCGAGCGTCCATTGGCAGCTGAGACCGTCCGCGCACGGCGTGGCCTTGCTGCAGCGGGACCACGACTGCGCCCCGACATCAATCGCCGCCGACATGTGCGGGCCAGTATTGGCGAGACGCAAGTGCGTCGTCGCTACCGCGAGGGGCAGCGCCGCCGCCGTGATTGAGAGCATCGTCTTCATGGTGACAAGGTGAATTGAAAAATGAAGCCCAATAAAGGACGTTCGTGAAGATGGGCGGAAGCTACCAAAGGGAGCCAACTCTGTACATATTTGGACATAGATGTCTCGCAGCAGCGTATGGATGTCGCGAAATTCTCGCCGCTGAAATATTGACTTGGGTACGTGTCGCTGGGCTGTGTCGACGATCGCAAATATATTCGCATGTGTATCCGGACAGGGGGACGTCGGGTCCTACAGCAAGCCCATATCGACGGCCGCCTTGGTAGCATTGAACGAAAGCTTTTGTTGAGCGGTGACGCGTGCAACGCAGTATTCTGTCGGCTTGGATAAAAGCGCTAAAACGCGATGCAGGAACAGTGACGCGACGTGCGTCAAGCGGAGATTGCCGGCACAAGGTGCAATCATATGGCCGGACTCTTTTCATGGATTCAGGATTACGGTGCAGAGACCCGGGGTGTTCGAGGGGTTCCCTTGGGATTGATTGGCGTTGCGGGACCGCGCTGTCCCACAACAACCTTGTGCGTCCAAGCAAACGACCTTCTCGTGGAACAACTGAGGTTCAACTCAGTCTTTGCAAGATGCCAGCCGATCACGCCCGCGGTGCGCACAGAATGCTCCCTAGTGATCGGGTTCACTGCAGGCAGGATTCAACCTTCTTCATATATGCAGGCGGCGTAGGGCGACGACAGAAGAGCCTGGCGAGCCCCCGCGCCGCCGCCTGCGCAGCCACGGACCGGCGAGCGAATGAAGAAGAAGGAGACTGCTGGTCTCTACGTATGCGAATCTATATGTAATAATGAAGATAACGCGAAACACGTTCATATATATGCAGGCGGTATACGTGTCGTGAAACGTGAAGACGACCGACGCAAGAAGCAGCGGGAAACACATGTAAAAGTGGCATCGCTTTGGCTTTTCTTTACTTTTTCTGCTTCTTGAGCGCCTTGACGAGCTTGGCGTGCTTGCTCGAGTTGATGTGCGCGTTGTACTTGGTCTGCAACTGGAACGTCGCCTTGCACGGATCGCACTTCCACACTTGAGTCTTCTCCTTCTTCTGTTGACCACATTCACATTCAGATTCAATCTCAAAAACAAAATGAGGACCTTTGTCTCCACCTTGGGCTTGGCGGCCACAACTTCGGGCACGGCTTCGTCGTCGACTTCGACAGGCGGGACCCACGCCTCGTTGACGCTAAAGACGTGCGTCCGGGCGCCCTTGGTCGACGGCGGCTCGCCGCGGAACGACGCCGGGTGCGTGCGCTGCGCCTCGTACCCAGGGTACAAGTTGATATCAAATGCATCCAGCCTACATGTATCAAGTTGATAGTCGCCGAAATTCCCTAAAACCAGAAAAAATGGGCATACCGCTTGAGCGTATAGCCCGCACGCTCGGCTTGGGCTTGAATGTTCCAGCGGTTGTAAAAGAGCGTGTTGCGCAAAGCGACGTGGATCTCGCCACGGGGCGTCTTCTACTCATTTTTGTTCATTTGAGTCGAGTTTGAAGATATACGACGACGTACGAGGAATGGGCGGGCCGATGCAAAGAAGCGAAACAAGAGGTCCTAAGGCATCCATGTGCACCAAGCGGCAACTCGAAGACGAGGACGTACCTGGTTCATCTGGACGTCTTCTTCGGTCGCACCGCCCAAATGCGGAAAGTTGAACAGAATGCGGTCAAACGACTTGGTGAGGATCCAGTCTTGCTTCTCGAGCGCTGTCGCGTCGACACCAACGTGGATTTCAGCCTAAGAGAATGGTAGTCTCTTCAGCCCCTGCGCGTCCTATCTCTAGTCATATATAGAGAGTTTACATGTGTGATCTGCAGCCCACGAATGTTGGCCGACGCCGTCGGGTACTTGCTCAAGAGCTCGGCCTGGCTGTCATACCTACAGTTGAGATCAGTGGCGTGTTCCATCTCTTGTTATAGGACAACATACACGGTGGCCACGATGCGTTGACCGCCCTAAGGTATCCATGCGTCAAGGTCAGTCCCAAAGTTGCAAGGTGGTGTACCAAGTTGGTGGCAAGGGCGAGCGAGAATGAGAGATCGCCGTCACCGACAATAAGAACGTCGTGGCGATCCGCGACGTTGCCGACGATCTTGGGGTTCGGGTTCGAGAGGTTAGCTTGGTGAAAGATGGTCGACGCCGCATTGTCGATGCGCTTGGTCAGCACCACGGGCGCCGCCGTTGCCGCCGCTTTGACAGCCGGCCGCTTCTTCATGGCCTGGCGCGCATTGCGCTTGCCGCCGCCGCTGGGCGGTGCGCCGCCCTTCTTGGAGCCTTGCGACGGACCCTTCTTGGGACCCGCGTTGCCGCCTTTCTTGGCCATTTTGCAGGATTGAAAATGCGGCATCCAATCATCGCGCGGTTTTATGCGAGGTGCCTGATTGGCTATTAAGTGACCAATCGTAGCTCGGCGATCGAACGGAGGATCGCCTTCGCTGTGTTAGATGCATAAATGCTACGCTGCATATGTGACGCTGCAGTACGCAGCAGTGCGTCGATGCCAGCCTGATGGCGTACTAAGGGCAGTAGCTGGGGACAGAAGCTGGCAAAGGGCTCGGGAACGCTCTTCCGCATACCGTGGGCTGGCCTGGCGTCCTATCCATCGGCACCACAGCATCCTATTGACTGATAATGGCAGGCTCATTGTTGTTTGCTCCATTCTGAACGCTCTCAGAGTCCCAGAGTCGCGCGCCGCTGCATCGGGTCGCGCCGTTGGATTGTAGTGTACGCGTTGTCGTGCGCGCCGACACCTCCGGTTCATTCTTCAATTGCCCTCGCCATGGTCACGTTCGCCGTCTCGTCCGTGGAGCG